GACATCTGATGGATTATTGCTTTATCTACTTAAAACTGTTAAGAAAAAATTGTGAAACTTTATGAATTGTTATAATGTTGAATTTCTACAATTTAAATAAACTTTCTAGTTTTATTGTTAAATGTATTCGTATGTAATCTAGAACGTTGTAAACGCCTTAAGCTTTAGATAAATATTTTATTTATTGTGATTACCATATACAGTTATGTAGTATGAATATAAATATGACAATATCTTCCTTCAGTCTCTTTAAATGTCAGCGCCATAAAATTCAGCAGTATTCGTTATGAATACTAATTTATTGTGTATATAATTGTTTATATGTGATTTAAACAACGCAAACAACAAGCTTTAAACAACGCAATTGATTCAAAGCTATAAAGAGAAATAAATATGACGGTTTCAGAAGTTGCACGTACTTTATTTCAAAGATTACAATGGTATTTTATGATTTCATCAAAATACTTCATTCCAACAGGGTATTATTGCCTTTTATGAAATATGTAATGAATAACATGAAATAATATAATTGATTTCATGGAATCATGTTATCTTCTTTCTTCTTCCGCGAAACCTATGGAAAAAGAAATAAAAATTTTAATACCTGTGCCTAGAAGTTGAATTAAAATAAAACCTGCAATCTACTGCTTACTTTAAAAATCTTTCCATCATTCCTTAACTTTTACAGTTCATTTTGTCATATAAAATTCGCAATCGGATAAATTTGATATTAATATGAAAAAATGTAATGTTTTTTAATAAATTGTATTATGAAACCTCAATTATGACAGTAAAAGATGTTAATTTATGCGCAGCAAACCGAAGCAATATCGTACTGAATATTTAAAAAAAGTTTAAAAACATAACAGTGTCATTTAATTACTGTTTTGGAAGATTCTATATAGAGATAAACGGATATTCATCTAATTAGTAACTTTTAACATAATTTGAATGGATATTAAATATGGAAATCCTTTCCTAACATGTCCGCTCTAACAGTTTTATTTTAGATGTTAAATAGGATGTTAATGTAAATTTGAAGAGACATTTTTCAGAACAGTTTATAGCATTTATGTGCTGTCGCACACAGATAAAGCTGCAAGCATATTTAATCTTTTCATGTGTTGAAAAAAAAGTTTGATATAAAGTATAAAATTAATTCTTTCAAGACAAGAGACATAAAATCATTAGTTAATTAGATGCAGAAGTTAAAAAATATAATCAGAAATTATGCAAATGTAATGTTTTTTTAACTAATTTTTGTTTGAACTAATTTTCATTATGATGAAGATAAAGATTTTATCACAACAGACCTTTCCTCACTTAGATAGTAGAAGCTGAGTTAATACGATTTTTAGTATGGTGATTTCTTTTCTTATTCGTTTTCTAATAAAGCAGATTGAGGCAAAGGAATTTATTTTTCTTCACCTGGCAAGAAACATAATAGCAATTACTTTCGTTCGGAGGGATCCTGTGAAAAATCATTCCAATTTCATTTTAGGTGATTCCAGCATGCATCTGCCAACGAAGTTAATTATATAGCTGATGTAGTCAAAATATATGAGTAGATTAATATATTTAAAATATAATTTATTTAACCCCGTGCGTTTAAAAAATTTCAAGATAATGATGTTGTTAGAATAAATTAGTGTCACATTTACATAATGAAGCTTGGCAGCGCCAAAAACAAACGAGAGTCAAATGATATATTGGCGAGAGAGGATTCTACCTATGGGTGTTTTATGCAGAAGTCTTAAAAGATTTTGTTACTCCCGCACTTGAGCTTCATTCGTTTTTCAGCTATGTTACCTTCTTTTTTGAAATATACTCTTAATATTATTGCCTAACAGGTAAGCCTGAAGTTGTTTAAACCTTATTAATGAATCTCTTGTAATTTCATTTTTCAGCACTTCAATTTAAATGTTTGTGAAAACTGTTAACTTTGATTTGTGTTCTACTTAAGTTATGCAAATTCTTTAACTTGCTAAATAAAGATTTTATAGTCATTCTAACTTATGAATCTTTTAGAAAGCTGTGCTAAATAGAGGGCAGTGAACTTAAACGCTTCAACTGTGTTAAATGCACGACACATCAGATGTCCAGTTTTCTCATGTGTATTTAAATCAAACATTAAGATTAAACATTCAAATATCCTTTAGTAAATATTAAAATTATTCCGTTGAAAGTGAACCTGCGTTGTATAGCATAGTATATCAGTCCTATATACAAACTTTCAACGTTCGGAGTTGTTTTTGAGTTATGCTAGATATGTACGTACATATGTTGTACAAACGCCACGGAAAATTCTCTTTAGAGTTCATTTTAAAGCAGTTTTATAATTTTTTTGGAGGAAAGAGTCTTTTATTCTGTCCTTACGTACAGCTGTCACGCAAAAACATCGTTAAATTGCATTCGATAGCGGTCAAAATGAATATTTTCATTGAAATATGCTGCCTGAAACGTTTCGCGATTACAATACTTCCTTTTTACTTCGTACAAAGAAGTAAAAAAAGGGGAATTGAGTAAGTATGGTATGTAGAAAAATAAATTTACTGTAGGAGGTTTAAACAGGTGATAGTTCTGAGAAAAACATTCCTTTATTAAGTACGGAGCCATATTATTATTGAATTATCTTTGGGCTGAGCATGAAATGAAATAAAGATAGACTGTCTGCTAGGCTTATTATTTCTTAGGAGTCATTCTGCCTCACGAAATTTGTCTTTAGTGCGGAGGAGAATAAAATTATGAAATTTGCCTTTCTTCGGGCCAAGTAAGATGAAAATACTGTGCATAATTTTAATAGCGGTGTGCTTGCAATTGGTTATGAAAAATGTGGTACACCTTACATTTAACCAGTGTGAGATATAAGATTATGCGAGGTGTTTTTTGTGTCAGAATTAAGTTTTAATTAATAATTAGGGAAAAAGTTAAGGAAGAAAGATCTTGGCAAAAGGAAGAGGAGTGGGACAGAGAAAGGAGCGATGTGAGAGGAAGGAAAAGTTTAAGTGAGGAGTTTTGAGGAAGTGTAGAAAAATGAAGAAGAAATAAACAAAAATGTGTAAGATAGGAAGAAATACAAACGGTAGACTGATATAAAAGCGTGTAAGTTATAGAGGATAGAGCCGTCGGATCTCTGTCCCCCATTATTTACACACTTATTGCTGAGATGAACTGCAAAATAGGCGAGATATAGGAAAACGTACTGAATATGGTTCGGCCTTGTGTATAATGGCTGAATTTAATTATTTAATACACACTCAAGACTTTTCCATGTGTTTAAACAGAACAGGAGGGAAAAGCGCTGATGCAGACTACGTTTATTAACAAAAGCAGGGAAACATTAATGAGCGACGTATCCCCCCCAAAAAAAATGATGATCAGCTGAAGTGAATAGTTACTAAATGTGCGCTGAAATGCTGTCCGAGACTGTTCATTTAGGGTGTAGTGACGAGAAAGAAAGCGATAATTGCCAAATCCCAGTCTTTATAAGACGTTGAGTTTAGTTTCCGTCTACGGGTTGAAAGTGTAACGATCTTTGTAATATTCAGGATTTGTTTCCTTCGAATGCCACTCTCCGGGGGACTACATTTCGACCACTTTTGGAACTGATAAACTTTGGTGTGCTTTGACGTAGGGAACTATCTGATTAGTGTGCTGTTTTCGTATGCTACCAATCAGGATTATTTCTCGATCGGAACTGCGATCTCATAACCAAGAATTTTAAATGTAGCTATAAAGTACTTGTTGAAGATTGCCTATATAAATATTCCTCAGCTCCTATTAGCATTAAATGAATGTGTAATCATTAAAGACGAATTCTCATTTAGACTAGACAATTCCTTTTATGTGTCTATTACGATTTCACATAGTTCATCCTGTCTTCATTGGTATGCCTTGTATTGGACTTAACCTTATTTCAATAATTTTATGTCTTGCTTTATAGTGACCTATGTTTTATGGAAAACCTAAATAAATATTAAAAATGAATATTTGCAAATTTTACGCTTATGTTCTTTATCTCTTTACGGCTTCAGAATTCAGAATTGTTTTATCTCATTAAAACTTAAGGGTTTACAAAACGTTTTTCTATATAGCAGAAAATTTCTTTTTTCTATAGGTTTGTTTTCTTGTCTTCTTTTTCTATGCGTCTGTTTGTATTTAACTCGAATGTTAAATATATTTTGCCATTTCTACAAGCTTTGAAAATAAATATTTTAAACTATTTTTACTTTACATTTTATTTTACATGAGCTTTTAATTTATTTACAATACTTTACATTTTTTGTATTTTATTTATTTAACTTTAAAAAACTGAGAAAAATATAGTGAAGTTATAAGGTATTTCTCCCGCCTTCCTAGCGTGCCTTTGTGGTGTAGTGGTTCTGCAAACTGGGCCGGTATTCCAGAGGTCCGCGGTTCGATGCCCGGTGAAAACGTTTGCTCATTTTTCACCTTTCCTGCTTCCAATTAACCTAATGATTCTACAAAATTACTCCTCATATTAATAAAGGAAAGCAAGTTCTTTATTAAAATCTCTGAGTTGATATATGAGTTTTTGTCAGTATTACGTTGATATTCTAAAAATCCTTAATTTTTTATGCTTATACTCTTGCATTAGTGCATTCAATCAAATACCACTGAATGGTCATTGTTGAAATTATTACTAACGTGTACCTTAAAGAATTCAATTTAATCGGTATTCAGTTCCAATTTTGATGTATGTAATGTTACTCGAAAAAAAGATGTTATTTAAATGTAATGTGTGCTGTAACTGACTAGAATAGCAATTTCTATCTCATAATTTCATAAAATATTAGATAAATTAAATAATAAATTAGAAATATTAGATAAAAATTGGGCTAATAATATAATTGCTTTATGAATAAACGTAAACGTACTTGTTCTTAGCTCACAGCTTATAAATTCAAGCCTTTTATAGATTTTGCACTTATGATGAAGAAATTTTGTATGAAAACATATAGATCAAATTAAACAATATAGTTTTTATCATCCTTTATTAAGATCATCTTTAGCATTACAGTAAAAATTTCAATGTAACTGGTCTCAAATATTTAATGCATATTTATTACATGGAAATAGACAAGCATTGGCTCTTAATCAGCTGAATAAAAGGAAAAAAAACTTATGACTATGCTGTTATTTTATCTTATGTTTTATTCACAAGCAAGTTCCAATCATCGATACGTCTTCCATGAAAACGTTTTAATCCAAAAATGCAAAACTGCTCTTAGAAAATGTGAAATGAGTTATATGATTTCTTTGGATTCATCGTCTTCCGTCTTGCAGCTGAAAGCTGGAAAGAAAAGTACAATCATTAATGGAAATTTTAAGAAACAGAATAATGAAATTTTCAGAAAATTCTTTAATTTAATCCTTGACAAAAGTAATTAAATTTGCAAAGTCATTTTCCAAGAAAAATTAAGAAACAGGTACTTGATAATATTTGATTTTGGTTTCTAGCTTTTACTTGGTTTTACTAAATATAGAATTAAAGTCAAGTATTATTGTGTGTAGTAAATTATCATAATATGAGTCACCAAGATAAAATGAAAAGAGATGATTTACTAATGAAGATTTCAAAGAAAGTTAGGAAAATTTTAAATTAATTTTCAAAAACCATTTTATTCAACTGCACAGAAAAACTGGAAAACAAACTGTAGGTATAATTGCATCCGGAAGCTAAAGATATTAATTGTTTTTTTCCTGTACAGCAAAAAACTAAAAATGTCAATGATAGTGTTTCGCTGCTCCGTTACCACATACTGCATAAAAAGTAGCCGTAAGCTTAGTAAGTGATAATTACTTCTTGATACAATTCAAATTAATGCTAAACATAGAAATCAATTTTTATCTTTCTATTAAATACGCTCCAGCTGTATTCTAAATCATTAAAGCAGATGCAGTTTCATTTTAAAATTTATGTGTTTGAAACACTATATATTATTTACTTGACTACAAATTCTTGTAAAATAGCAATCATTCTTTCATATCTTAATAAGTGTGTGTGTAAGCCTCGAAGGCTATCTGAGTAAAGGGAAGGCTGCCTTCATGGAGGACTTTCTAAGGGGAACTGGCTCGTATACACGATACACATGATAAAAACCACAAAAACGGCCATTCGGCCAGCCCTTTCGCGGGATCCGAACCTCGGACCGAACTACCAGTGTTCAACTATAACAGTGTTTACCGCTCGCCGCTGGCGTGCCCATATTTTAATAAGAAGCGTATGATATATAAAATCAATTCTTTCCCATTTAGAAAATTTTGATGTGAACAACACATGACTTGCTTGTATGGCCTATTAAATTATGCATATTTTTTGTTGCATTTCATTTTAAACTTATGCCCTCGAGTTTCATTAGAGATAAATTTCTCATTCAATCAATTCACTTCTAACTTCGCGGCAAAGCAAAAATACATAAAAACTTAAAACACCATCATTGAAAATTGTTAACACACACACACACACACACACAAAAAAAAAAAAAAAAAAAAAAAAAAAAAAAAAAAAAAAAACATGAAATATCAAATACAGTTAAAAACAGTTAAAAAAAATATGCTTAAAAGCAATTCCGCCAGCGAGCGGGAAGAAAGATTTCTCTGCGCACAAAACTGAAAGTTTATTTTTGGTCACACTCTGCAAAACTGCACCGAAGTTGGCACAGGAAGTGACTTAATTCACTATTCTTCTAAGAGCACAAATGTAGGCTTCGTTAGGCTTAATAGCATTTTAATAACGTTTAAATAGTTGATAATTCTTCAACTATTGCATACAGATGCCAAAATTCCTTAACCGGAACAAAACAACAACATTATTCAACCAGTTTTAGAGTAAAAATGAACAGTTTACGAACATATAGGAATAAAAAAATAGCTTACCGAACTTAGTGACAGAGTGGGTGTATATTTAATTATACTTATATTTATATACATATGTATATACTTTTAGTGAGGTCGATTGCAATCAAAAAGGATGGTGAAAGACTACGTGTTGTGGCAGTTCCATATACAAAATTTCAATATTCTGAGGTTACTCGTCTTTGAGTTATGAGAGATACATACATATATATGTCATATATACATGTATAAGTATAGACATATGTTCAGTGTCACAGACACGGAACTCGCCTCAGACACGGAGTCGAGTTCTCTCCGCATCTGTGAAAATAACAACGAAATCAGGAGAAGGTATAAACAGCCTTATTTGTTTAAAATACTAACCTGAACAGATATACAAATTGTGGTTAGAATTAAATTTCCGATACTTACAGGATTTCAGATAACAGAAATCTGATTTTAAAAAGGTAAGTAGTTTGATGCTGGAGATGTACACTGCTCAAAAAAAAAAAAAAAAAAAAAAAATGGGACAGTCGTATATCTCCTGATCTACTGGGCCGATTGACAAAATTCAAATTGCGTTCTTCATGTCTCGAAAGCGCGACTTAGGATATATATTAGATTTATATATAGCACTATTCTAACATAGGTATTTTGACACAAAATAGGACTTTTTCTGAAATAATATACCAATTTTTTTCCATATTTCGATTCTACGACTCAAATTACGCCTAAATATGAAATTTTGTAAATTTTGGAGCGACATTTACGGAGAAATTCACAAATTTATGTTGGCACTTTTTTGTCAGTTTGCGCCAAGTATAGTTCACTTGGGGAACTTCTTAATATATGGCAACCTAGTTTCCTTTCCCGTGATAGGAAAAAAAGTCACCTTCGTTCCTTTTTTCCAAATAATATTCTTTATATTACATTTTTAATTATAACTTATTATTTTAAGTAATTTTTTCTTTTTCGACGAATTTCATTTTAATTGTTTAAGTTGCACTTTTTTTTTTTTTTTTCCGAATAACTGTTTTAAAAATTTCTATTTACCTATTCGAACTGCGTAAATAAAGGTGCAGCGTTCATTTTTTGTTTTCAAATACTTTTCTTTATATATATATTTTGTCGTCATAGTTATTATTTTAGGTAATTTTTAAATGTTTATATACTTTTATTTCAATTGTTTGTATTGCATTGTCTCTTCCGATAATTGTTTTAAAATTTTCTATTTATTCCTTCGAATTGAGCATTTTTTTAAATATATTTATTATTATAAATTTTCCAGAATTTGATTTTATTTATTTGAATTGCGTTTCTTTCGGAGGAATACTTTGTAACCCGGACTACGATGCGTTTGAAAACTGCATATATTAAAAGAGAAAATACAGTAAGCACAATTAACACGCCTTTCAATGTTCCGTTCAGAAAAGATATATATAAAGAAGAGAGATGTATAACGACATTTAACTTAGGATGAATTGCATACACTGCTTTAAACAATTTATCATTGTGCCCATTGCTTTTTACACAATTTTATCCTACATTTGGCTTCTTAAATATATTCATATTTTTAGTCAAATATTTATTTTTGAAATCGTAAGAATCAAATATCATAAGATTAAAAAGTTTTAAATTTAAAAAAAAAATACAAATACTAAATTTTACCCAAAAATTTATTTTACTTCTCTTTTTCTTCAGGCATTCTACTTTATGCTCTACTTCTTGCTCTTTTTCTTTAGGCATTCCGCAACTATATTAAAAAGCATCCAAAATTTTCGAAATATCTGATATTTTGACATTCATTTTAAATAAAGTTATCGCCTTCCATTTCATATAGGCCCACAAATGGCCGAAGCGGTAAAGTCACTGAAACACTGGTAAGTTCGCTCCGGGGTTCGAATCATGGTAAACAGGTTGTTTGCATCTGGCGTTTTCGTGGTTTTTCTCATGTGTAACCGTGTATGTTAGCTGGTTTCCCTTAGAAAAGTTCTTCACGAAGGCATCTCTTCCTTTTAGGCAGATAGCCCTGCTTTGACGTAACTTAATAATCCAATTCAATCCATTTCATCAATATTTGGTCAGAGCCTTTATCAGTCTTTAGAGGCTAAATATTTCGAAGGTATGAGATGAAAGGAAAGACTGGTTTCCTAAACAGGTTTTGGTTTATTTAATTATGACAAAGCACACTAGGGCTATCTGCCTAAGTAGAGGGATGCCTTCGTGGAGGACTTTCTAAAGGAAACTGGCTCGCATACACGTTACACATGGGGAAAACCACGAAAATGCCCATGCAGCCAGCCCGTTCGCGGCGGGATTCGGACCTCGGACAGAACTACCAGCGTTCAGCGACTTTACCGCTCGGCCGCTGTTTCATCAGGAGGGAAAAAAAAAAGTCTTTAGGTGACATCCACATACATCACTGGATAAACTCCTGAATATTCAAATAATTCGAATGAGAAAATCATGGGATTCTCAATTTATGATACGATATGATGTTCTATAACGTAATTTAAATTTATACAACCATATAGTCTAAAACCAGTCGCTTTTCACTTTAATCTGCAATGATATCGTTTTTGTCTTTTCTGTTAACCACAAGCTCAATTGATGGTATTTGCTGGTGTACACGTCCAAGTGTTTTTTTCTTCTTTAAACACCTAAATTCTTTGAAATATCCTGAAAGTATATTCAAAAGCGTCCAACTTTTTGAAACATCTTGGTATGTCTGACAGCCAAATTTCCCTGCAAATTTTTGCTTACTTTTCTCCCTAATTTTTTTTCTTCTTCCTTCTACAGTTATTTTCAGTGCACACACAAGAAAATTAAGATTTTTCGATTGCTAGACTTCCATAAATTTTGCATTCTTGGTAATTTTTAAAAATATCAATTACATGAATTGCGTTTCAGCTGAAGACAGCTTTTCATTTTCTAGTCTTTTTAACTATAAATAAAGTTTAAAGCGAAGTCCAAAGGATAAATATTTTAATTAAAAGATTTTTGCTAAATGACAAAGAAATAAAACAGTCCAGCAGGGTTTATTCTGTACCACCGAGTAACCCTATTCTTATATCGGCTGAAACAATCTAAATCATATTAAAGATTATGTTTTTTTATACAATCTATAACTCGAGAGAAAAATTAGCTTCTTAAAACTTTCTTTCTAAGAGAATTAATATAAAAGTTTAAATTTATATATATATTTTTAAAGCTGGGACTTGAACCAAACTGTAAAATTTTTAAAGTTTAATTTACATGGTGGTTATAATTAAAGTTCCAACTTGAAATGGCCATAAAAGGAAAATTACCGTACCAAATGTTATCAAACTTGGGAATCGTGTAAAGGAGGTTACGAGAATTCATTTTCCGCGGAAAATAAAAAAAAGAGTTCAAAAACTCACCACCAGGGAAAAATGGCGCTGTATACAAGATTGATAAATGAAATAAGACACGAAA